TGCGCGATAAGCCACAACAGAAGCATTCACCACGTCAATTGCCACGGTTATGGTGTTGTTGCCATTGTTAGAGAGATCAACCAAGAGGAAGCGTTGTGAGTCCGGCACAGATGGGTTCAGGACAGGTATATCATATATTGCGGTCGCTCCATTTGTGAGTTGGGCTCGCAGTGCTTTTATGAACGTGTTGTACGAGTTGCTTGTAGCTCCACTTGTGGAGAATGAGATGTTGCACTCGGTGCCACAGAGAAAGAGGCTAAATGCGAGAGTAATGTATATTGCTAACACTCTCGTCATTCTGGTATATATGTAGACACGTAGTAGTGTATTTCTGTTGGTGATCAGCAAGGTAATATGTGTCTGATTTTATAGTTGGTTCAGATAGTATTTTTCGCATTTGCAAAATGTGTTGGATACAATAAAGTAAATGAGTGATAAAGCGAGCGGTTGGAGGTGGCAGTTGTAAAGAAAAATTAGTACCTACTTCTTGTTGGAAGTTATGCATTAACCTGACCTTAAAGTCTTGGAGCCTTAAAATGGAATTGGGCCTAACACTAAGCCCAATGAATTAAGTATTGGGTTCATAGAGAGAGGAACAGAGGGCAGTTTCCTAATAAAGAGATTGTAATAAATCGCTAGGTGTTGGGGAGGAGGATTCAACAACCATGCTTTAGCTACTTAAGGATGAATATGAATTTCTATTCAAAATATTTTTGTGTTCGAATCACAAAGTTTTGTGTTTATGCTGAACAGTTCATATTATAAATCATTCTGTAAAGATTATCCCTACAAAAAATCAATTAAAATTAGAGTAAATTGTACAAATGGTCCCTCAACTTTAATCAAATTGGAGCAATGGTCCCTCAACTAAAAATTCATTACCTTTGGTCCCTCAACTTATCAAAACATGCAGCTATGGTCCCTCAACTAAAAATCCATTACCATTGGTCCCTGAACTTTAATTCAAGTGGAGAAATGGTCCTTTAACTTTAACTCAATTGTAACAATGGTCCTTCCAATATAACTCGTTTTGACAAATTTTTTGACATAGTTGACGAAAAGAACCATAATTATATACTTTGATGAGTTAAGGGACCCTAATTATATAAATGGTCATTCCAACATAGCTTATTTTGACAAAATTTTGACAAAATTGATGAAAAGGACTATAGCTACACATTTTGATAAGTTAAGGGACCAATGGTAATGGATTTTTAGTTGAGGGACCATTGCTCCAATTTGATTAAAGTTGAGGGACCATTTGTACAATTTACTCTTAAAATTAAAGTCGTTTAGTCAATCTATTATAGCAAATACATAGATGATTCGTAATACTTTTATTAATTCTATCATCCTTACACAATTCGATAATTAAATGATCTTAGTTTTAATTGATTTTTTTTGTAGAGACTATCTTTATATGGTGATTTATACGATGAACGATTTAGATCATAAATATAAAATTCAATGAATTGGCAACGAACAATTTTGAGTAAAAATTCATACTCATCTTTTGAGTAACCAAGTATTATTCAGGATTCAAGAGGGTTGGGGTGGGTTTTTTTCCTTGGATGGGGTTGGGGGGGGGGGGGGGGGGGGGGGGGGGGGGGGGGGGGTGGGGAGCGGGGTGTTTGAGTTCGGGGCCGCTTAGGTTGTCTTGATTTCTGCATTTTTTTTGGGTGGTGGGTGGGGGAGGGGTTAAAAAACTTAAAACTTGGGTTTTAGTTTTATTATAGCACGTTTAGTTAACTGGAATGGAAAACATTGTGAATCAGGAAAGAAGATATAAGGAAAATAATCAAATTTAGTTAACTAGAATGGAAAACGTCCTGAATTGGGAAAGAAGATATAAGGAATATAATTAAGGCTTATTTTTGGCTACGTAATCTGAAACTTAATTTTAATCTCATTTTACTTACTGTAACTCAAAAGTCGTCATTTTACTCCTTGAAACTCAAAGTTCGCTCCACTTTACCCTTGGAACTCGATTTTGATCCCATTTTGCCCCCTGAAACTTGAAAGTTGTTTATATAAGACACAAAATTAACTCTACATTGTCTTAGATTTGTTTTTTTTTCTTCTTATGTTTGATTTGGATGCGTCAGGCTAATAAAATTTTCTTTTCCATCTCTTTAATTTTTTTTAACTTAATATTCTTTGATTTTTTAACGTTAATGCATAATGAAGATTTATGATCACATTTATTTTACATGTGGCCTAGTCTTATTGGGTGTTAGGTCTCACATATGTTTCAGGATGCGACTTATAAGTTTCAGAGAGAAGAGGGAGTTCACAAGTCAAAGTGACCTGGTTGAATTAAAAGTGAACAACATCAAGACTGGTGTAGCCTATTTTATTTGACAAGGTTAAGGGGGCCGGTGGCAAAGAGAAGAGAGAGTGAGAGAGATATGTTTGTAGAATTGTAGGAGAATGTGTGTGTTATCCCTCCTTCATACTGCATTTATTTATAGTAGTAAAATGAGATAATATATTTCTTCATTCCCAAGGAATATAAATTGTAATAGGAAAATATAACTAGAATCAAATTTAATCTATGATTTACACAATTACACTTAAACTAGGAAGTTTACAACAAGGACAACGATTAAAAACCTTTTTTAGTTTTGTTTATATCATATATGAAAATTTGAACAATGAAAAAATATACAAAATTAATCCACAATTGGTACAACAATAATAAATTTTCGAACAATCGCCAACGGCATCGTTTTGAGGACCTTCCCGGCCTTTTGTGTCTGACCACACGCCATTTAAAAGAGAGCAGTACCATCAACGTTTTATGGCTTTTTTTTTTTTTCCACATCCTTCTTATTCTCTCCTATTTGTACGGTTACAGTTAAGCTACGTCAACATGTAATATTCCTATTACTTTTTGTTTTATTATCTCTATTAAAAAATTATATAAAATGTTAACGTAGCTTAACCGTGACCGCACAAATAGAAGGGGATGAGAAGGGCATGGGAAAAGGAGGGTAGACAATTTTTCTCCTTTTTTTTTTAGGAAGTTTTAATAAAACACTTTTGGTACTATTCACTTGTAACGAAAAATCACATTTTTACATTTTCCTGGTACTATTTACTACCCCTTTATTTGTTATTTTTCATTAAAACTAAAGTTTTTTGGACTTTTCGTTAATTTTTTTTATTAGCACCCCACTTAATGTTGAATACATCCCAAATAATCCAAGATTATTTATCTTCCAACATTCAAAATTCCTCTCATCCTCCATGGTGGTGATTCCAACTGTTAAGTTTCCCTTCAGTGAAAAATTCTCCAACCCCATTAAATGCTACAACAACTGTAAACAAGTTGCTAATTCTGCAGTGAGTTTGAAGTTGAACAAATAAAGTTGAAAATAGAGAAGTTTGTTTTAGCCAGTCGGACAAAAAAGTAAATTACATAAATTCTTTCTTACACACTTTAAGTACACTATTGACAAAAAATAAGCCATTGAATGTATTCCCTCCGCTTTTAGAAGGAAAATATAATTCATAAGCTTTATCTTAAGAGACTAACATAAATGATCGCGATATTGAAAAAAAAGTTGAATTGAACTCATGACTTCGGGTGCAAGATGTATTCTCTAAATTATCAAAAACAAGTAACAAGATGCATTGTTACTAGTTTACTATAAAATATTACAAATTCAACAACTATTGTAGGGTATGTAGATAAATTTTATGAGAAAATATGCGGGATGTATTAAAATAAATTTTAATTAAGTAAATGTGGAATGTACTAAATATATATTATGTATTCAATAATGGGTGCATTTTTACTCATCTTCATTAACTTTGGTATATGCTGACTAGGAATGGGAAACGGTTATGGCGGGATGGTAACTGCGGTTATTTACCCATAACCGTTAAAATTTTTACCCGCATAACCGTTTACCTGTTGGGTATTTACATAAACGGGTATACCCATACCCATAACCGTTTATAAACGGTTAACTATACCCATAACTGCATACCCATTTACCCATAACTGCATACCCGTTTACCCTTTTTTTTTTACCCATCTACCTATTTTATTATTTATGAATATATGCGATGTCTCCCAATTATTTGACCGTCAATCTATTACAAGAATCATGCATGGTTGTAGGTTAATTAATATTCTTGTATACATACATACATACATACATATATATAAATAAATAAATAAATATATATATATATGTAAGTATGCATTAGTTTGCTAATAAGCTAATTCGATAAATATTTGGATTTTTATTTAGAAACATATGTTCATCTATCCAAGCCATTTAATTGATTTCTAATTTTTGGGTCAAATACTTATTGAAAACTCAAGGCCAATTAAATATATATACATACATACATATATATATATATATATATATATATGTACGCATTAGTCGACAATAACATGTTTCTAAAAGATCAAGGTAATCATTATCTTGAATTGGCCAAAGCTCCAAAAGACTCCAAAACAAAAGTATCGAATACTCTAATGCTTTAGTACATTCAATCACATATATTAAACATTGGTCCGTTCTATCAACTATATTTTTCCCTCAAGTAAGGCATATATATATATATATATATTATGGCCCTTTATAACCAAATATGTTTCGGGATACTAAACTTAGCTAGAAACTATTTTTTTTTTAGTTTTACATATATTAAAATAAATGGTTAAATGGGTACCCGTTTATAACCGCGGGTAATACCCATAACCGCCCATTTAAATTTCACGGGTAAACGGTTATATCCATAACCGTTTATTTATCTAAACGGTTACTCATAACCGTAACCGTCAAATTTAAATGGGCGGATAACCACGGTTACACATAACCAATGGATATTTGCCCATCCCTAATGTGCACCATACACTTATATGCCTACCATCTGTCTCATTCCCTAATCATAGTTAACTCTTTTATTAAAATACTTTTTCAATTTTTAAAAGTAATTTAAAATACTGATTAAACAAAAACAAAAACAAATACAAACCTACCCCACTCAGCCAAGCCAACCCAGACAAACACCACTCATGCCGTCGTCGCCGGCGACCATCTTTCAACCCCAATTCCTTATTTACCCATCCCTTAAAGCCACTCCACTCCACGAACATCAATGGAAAACCCTTTCTCTTTTATTTCCCTAAGGGTCCAAAAATCCCAAGCCGAAGAACTCAACCTAAATCCAAAAATCTCAAACCTTTCTCTTTCAACCGAAGTACTCAACCTAAATCCATTTATCTCACAAACCCAATTGAAAAACTTCCAAGCCTTCACGGGTCTTTATCCAATTTCTTCAAAACATAGATTACTGCTACATCGGTGGTAAGTGATGGGTATTAGGACTCGGATAACTAGTTCTCCAACTCACTGGACCACAGGTTGGCCAAAACGAGTTGCAGAACCTAAAAAGGCAAGAGAAATAGAAAGAGAGATGAGACAGGAGGAGAATGGTGAAGAAGAGAAAGGGAGACCGTGAACATATGGTTTATCCGGCCACCAGATGGAGAGGTGATCACGACGGCGAAGTGCTAGGTGTTTGCAGAGTTATATGGGTGTGTAATTTGAAGTGTAATGGGATTGTTTTTATTTTTGTTTAATCTCAGTGTTTTAAATTAGAAAAAAAATATTTAATAATGAAATTAACTATAGTTATAACATAAGACAGATGGCAGGCATATAAATGTATGATAAACATACACTAAGATTATTGTGGGTGAGCAAAAATGCAGCCATTCAATAATATGTGGCGGGTTAATATACCAAGGTATCCGTTACTCTGTCCGAGATTCCAAAACGCTCAATAAAAACCCTCGCGAGAAACCTCATCGGCTGCTGGGACCTCCGCACAGGCGCCGAGCAAATCCGCTACAAAATCTGCGCCTCTCCGCCTCACGGCCTCATGTGCGTTGGCAAACGGTTCATCGCTTCCTCTTAGCTCCGCGAGCCTTCTGCCACCTCTGGCTCTGTCCAGTACCGGTCCTGGTCCAAGGTAAGATCACCTCCCTTCTTATGCACACAGCCTGTTTGATGAATTACCTTAATTGATAAAAAGCTTGCATTTTCATTGAATTTGAGGAGTTTTTGCAATTTTATTGAATTTTGGGAGTTTTGATGTGCAGCCGCAAGTTGATGTCCAGGGCTTCCCAGAAGAACCGATTAATCCGCTCGCTGCGAACAGTGAAGGCTCGTACATTGTTGGCCGAGGCTCAATGGGGGGAGGTTAATTTTCTTAATCATTTTTCTTTATTTCTTTGAATTTATCTTCTTTTGAGCTCTGAAATGCTAATGAACAATTTTGTTTTTTTGGGTACTTATTTAGGTTAATGCTGGTAGACTGCTTAAGAAATGGCATGCTCACTAGTCACTACAGAGGTGTTAGTTACTTGGTATTCTCGGATGATGGCACCCTGTTGATTTCGGGGTCGGAGGATGGAGGCATTGGAATTTGGTCTTGGGTAACCACTTCTTATCTTATATTTTTGTATCTTTATATTGTTTTTAATTATGCACTGAAAACATATCTCTATCTGTTGAATCTCACAGGTTATTTGATGATAATCAAAGTCAACAGGAAAGCAACCTGTGCATGCATAGCTTTACGGAGCACACTCTGTTTAACGGTTGTTGTCGTAGGATATGGTGGATGCAAAGCCATTATCGTGTCAGCATCTCAGGATCACACGTGTAAGTTACCATCCACGCGTGGATTGTGTCTTGACTTGTTGATCTTTTACTTTGTTAAATGCTCAGATTTATCTTCTCGGTTTTTGTAGCATGTATTCCTTGTAAGTCCCTCAATATGTATTACATGTCTTTTGCGTGTTATGTACTGATGCATTCTTATTCATCCCCAATAAACAAAAAAGAAATGCATTCTTGAAATTGCACGTGTATTATGGTTTTGATTTGGATGTACATTTCTTAGGTTTGGAGCGTAGGAAGTGGGAGATTGTTGAGAAATATTGTTTTCCCTACTATAATTGATGCGATTGCACTGGATCCTGGTGAAAATGTCTTCTTTGCCGGTGGTAGAGATGGCAAGATATACGTTGCTGCACTTAATGCTGGGAGCCCACTGAACAGCAAGTATGGGTTCCATATCATCGATTGTTTCTCGAATCACAGGTTTCTCTCTTTTCCTATCCGAACCTTTTGATGAACTTACTGATATTCCAGTTTGCAGTTTTATTTGGTATTCAGATGAGTTTTCTTCAGTTAAGACTTCTCTAATTTTTAACTCTGTATTTTCGTATTTCAAAATATAACTACCAAACATTGTTGCACGTTTTAAGAACCCTGCATTCTTCGTATAGTTATGACAGACAGGCTTTGCATTCTGGTGAACTGAATCGAGGAACATTCATTTTAGTATATTTCGAATGAGAAAAACTCTTTTAACTGACAATTTTATACTTTCTGAACTGCAAAGCTGTTACTTGCAAAGCTGTTACTTGCTTAGTATTTACATAAAATTTGCTGTACTCCACAGGTCCAGCATTTTTCTGCGAAATATATTGAAGACCTCAAACAAGTCTGGAGCTCTTTGCATTATACTGTACACACACACACACACAATTAATGTGCCTATGTCTAGGCGATCTTCATTCTGCCCGAAAGCAAAGGAAAAGATGATTCCGATGAAATCTGTAATGCAGCAACCAACCACCGGTTCTAGGAATGCATGCAGCTTTGTCTCCCTTTCCATCTCACTTCCTCTCCTGCGTTCATTAGCAGCACTCGCAACAGTCAGGCAGGTAGGATTAACGAAAAAAACTTGAAAAGTTCAACGAAACATGCATGCATAAACTAAACACCCCAATTAATTTTGAGATTACCTGTTTCTGCACTCTTCCTTTTAGATGATTTTTGCACCCGGCCAAACTCAGCTCCAATGTAGTGGTTTTGGTTTATTTCAGGTAGCATTGTTTGTACACCCTGGAACTGCTAGTAGCTAAATCAGAAAACTGGAAGTCTGCAAAATTTTGTGACCATAAACTGTTACTTTCTTGCATATAATTTTCGGTTTAAAGTTGCTTATTATAGTCTCAAATCCAGAGATTTTAAAAATAAAATAAAACCGGAGCATTGCAAATCACGATATTGGGAGAGGAGGAATCGACCTGGGGACCTAGAATATGGTCTTTACCCTTGCAACATTATAAATTGTTACTTTCTTGCATATTTTTGGAGATTTTAAAAATAAAATAAAACTAGAGTATTGCAAATCACGATACTAGGAGAGGGAAAATTGAACTCGGGACCCGGAATATGGTCTTAAACCGAGTTACAAGTCCCTTGCAACCTTATATATAATAACTTGTCTAGTTGGAACATGGGATCTTGTCATTTGGCAAGTATAATAAAAGCTCAACCATGAAATTAGCGCATTGATGTAAAATGAATAGAGTGAGTTGGTAAATAAATAGAAAAGAGCTTAATTACCAGAAGTGGAAGGCCTCTCATGCAACTAAACAGCATCCTCTGTTTCCACTATGCCTGAAGTGGAAGGCCTCTCATGCAACTAAACAGCATCCTCTGCCTCCACTATGCGTATACCATCAATTCTGATGTTGGGGATGTGAGAAATCTTGGGCCACTCCTTTCCTCTGCCTTTTTGGCAACCTCGTGCAGGAGTCGGAGAGTTAGAGATGACAAGTGTCTGAAGTGGTGTTTTCCGCAAGAAGTCTGGCAGTGTTTTTAGCTGAGGGCAGTACCCAATATGTAAAGAAGAAAGGCATGGCATTATGGTAATATGAGAATCCTCTTCCTTCCACTCTTCCACTCCTTTCCACTCTTCCCACGCCTCCATAATGGAAAACTGGAGTTTTTTCAATTTTGGGAATAGAGTAATGCATGATGATGCTGATGACGTTTCCTTTTCTATTCCCAGAAACTCAACTCCAACCTTTTTTACTCCATTCATATGAATAAGGATCAGTGTTTCGAGGGACGGCAATTTTCCCAAAGGAGGTAAAACTTCACATTCGTCCCAATATTCAAGAGTAAGAAATCTCAAATTGTTTAATGACATGATCCAGTTGGGGGCAGTGCTTCCATTATAAAATTGAATGTTTAAAGATTCCAAATTTGGATGCGGTCGTAAGAAATTCAGTTTCTGCACTTCTTCTCTCCCCGTCTTTCCATTCAAAAGATATACTCAATTGTGAGAGTTGTTGTTTGTTCCCCAGGGGTGATGCTTTCTCACCCGCAGCAACTTTCACTTCCCCATAAATACGTATCCATAGTTCACCCTGAAGTTGGTCTAAGTTTCTCAAATCTCCCAATTTGAACGCTTCATCGTCGTCTTTACCACCGCCAACAGGGCACCGATCTAGTCTTCTTAGATTTGTTAATCTCCCAATCCCTTTCGGCAAGTACTTCAGCTCATTGCAACCCTCAACATAAAGATGCTTTAAGTTAGTCAACTTTCCCATGCTCTGAGGTAGACTTTCTAGTTTCCAACAGTTGTGAAGGCGCAATGTCTGCAAATTGTATAAATTACACACCCCATTCGGTAGCTTTTTCAAACCATAATTGTTAGACAAATCAATGAACCTCAGATGCACCAATTCACCTATCCCTTCCGGAAGCTCTTCAATAGAATTACCACTCAAATTCAATGTCCTAAGATGTTTCAACTGCAACATCAAAGTTGAGTCCACAACGGTGAAACTTGAATCAAAAGTTGCAAGAGTACGCATCTCACTTTTACAGCTGGAAAACGAAACACATGAGAGTGGACCCTCGGGTGCAAGCACTAAGGTCAAATGGCGGATCTTATCACCCAAGGGCTCTTTTGTATCGCTACCACCCTTAACCTCCATTGTAAAGCATTCATTTTGAGTAAGAAACTGCAAAAAGTCATGCACAATATCATGCATTTTACACCTCCAGATATTTCCTTGATAATCTTCTTCAAAGTCTTGGAAGAAAGATCGCATTACTAAATTATCAAAACACCTTTGGCCAATTATTTTCTTCTCTATTTTTTCTTTCGAATAGAGATAATCTTGTGACATCCACAACTCAATCAAATAATCTTTATAGATCAAATGATCTTTTGGAAAAATAACACAATATAAAAGGCATCGTTTAACCGCAGGTGCCAAATCAAGATAACTCAGTAATAGTGGTTGGAAAACTTGTTGCCCAACCTCTTCTAGCTCCCATATCTTACTGTTCAAAACTTCTTGCCATTCTTTCCTCGTTTTCTTGTAACGCATGAGACTACCCAAAGTCTTTGCAGCAAGAGGCAAACCCTTGCACTTTTTTGCTATTTCTTTACCAATGGCTTCCAACTCACCATCCTTATCCCTTTTATAAAATGCCATGCGGTTGAATATTGGCAAACAATTTTGTTCGCTCAACCTTTCTAAATAGATCGTGTGAGTAGGAGCTCCCATCATATCAGCAACCTTCTGTTTTCGAGTGGTCACCAATATTCTACTGCCATGGGCGCCACTTTGTATTAATGGCAACTTCAATTTCTCCCACTTTCTTTGGTCTTCAGTCCACACATCGTCTAGGACAAGGAGAAACTTCTTTCCCTTAATGGATTCAGACATACGTTGAAATAAATCTTCCAACTCATCCGAATTTGGGCTGACTGCTTTAGCACCAGAGATGATGGCTTTAGAAATTTTGATCTCATCAAAAGGCTCCGAAACACAAATCCATATTTTGATCTCAAAACAAGCTTTAACATTTTCATCGTTAAAAGCCAGTTGGGCCAAAGTTGTCTTCCCCATTCCTCCCATCCCGACAATAGGGATGACAAGGAGGCCCCTCTCTTCTTGACTACTCTCATTCAACAACTTGCTAACCAAAACTTCCTTTTGTTGTTCTCTACCAAATATGATAGATTCATCAACAAAAGAAGAAGTTTTCTCTCGCTCAGGTTGTTCACTGATCGTCTCTCTGTGAATCGAAAGTTATATCTTTCTCTTTGCTTTGCAATCTCATCTAAATTTTCATTTAGACTTTTGATCTTAAGAGCAATGTCATGACGAAGAATTATCCGACGGACTTGGCCGAAACAAAGGCAAGAGGAGGAAATAGAGAAACATACCGCCTTCTTCTTCTTCTTCTTGGTAACAAGAGAAGTACTTCCACCGTGCTCTTCTTCATTCTCAACTTGTTGTTTCAGTATTTCAGTCTTCCACTCATCCAGCACATTGTCCATCTTGTACGACACATCTTTCAGCTTCTCCAGCCAATTTCTGACGCTGGCCTCCTTCACTTGCCTCTGCTCCGCATCCTCAAGCACAGCACCAATCGCTTCAAGGTTGGCAGCAAATGCATCAACATCTTTCTTAGCATTCAAAACCAGCTTCACCTCTTGTTCGACGTGTTGGTAAGTTACCGAAGCCAGTTGTTCGAGAAGCACGGAAATGAGTGCCTCGGCCATTTTTCGGTTACTAGTGGAAACAGAGAAAACCAAGAGATCTGAACCAAGAATTTCAGGATTGGTATGGTAATAGTATTACCGTTCTGGTAGCCAAATGTTGAGATTAGAATATGGGCGTGTTAGACAAATAATAATGGTAGGGGAAGAGGTGAGTTATCCCTCACTTGTTGAACAATTATTCTCTTTTCTTCTTTATACAATTGCACGCAGGAAGAAAGCACGAATCTTTGTCTCAAAAGTTAGATAGACAATTCACGCAAAGAATTTTAGAATTGGGTGGCGTGGAAGAAACAATTGTTGATTTCGTTGGCTTCGTATCATCCTCGACTCACGAACAAGAAAACTGAGAGTCGATTTGAGACAGGATTCCATGGCTATGGTCTCCAAGGTCGACGGGTGAGTGGGAAAGAGGGCGAGAGGGATTCCATGACCAAATGAAGGTGCTTTTCTTTACAGAATAGAATAAGTCTATGTCCTGGTTATATACAGTTGTACATGCACAAGTAATTAAGTAATAGAGATGATGCTTTCACTATGATACAATGTTATTGAGCGTAGAAATTGTGTTGAATAATGTTGAACTTGCATTTCAGGATTTGCATTTTACATAATGTTGTGTAAGTTTGGTTGGTTGTCTCTCATTTTGACAAGGAATCTTTGAATATTTTGATGAGTAAATTAGGCATTCCTCTTCCACTGTTTTAAACATATTTAGCAATGGAGGAGGAATATTTATCTATTTTTAAATTAATATCTATCCCTACGAACTAAACAATGTTTCAAATTTGGATAATTAGTATTAAAGGCATACTAAACAATGTTTCAAATTTGAAATTTGGATAATATTTTGATCAGTAAATTAGGCATTCCTCTTCCGCCTAGGAATATTTATCTATTTTTATATTAATTATCCTTGCCGGATCCCCTTTGTGAGGAGAAGAGCAATTGGGGGGAGGGGGAAAGCACAGTTGATTTGACTTTTAAATTACACAATCTCATTTTTGTTTTGACTTTCGAGCATCATTTCATTTGTTATGGGGAGGAGCAATTTGCTGCGATTTTGGGAACTTAAAACAACCAAATAAACTAGAAATTTATACTGAAACATGGGAGAAATTTTTTGTGAATTTCTGTTTGTAAGCGTTTTTGTTAAATTGCACTAACTGTATAATTGCCATTTTCATCGATTGTGATTTGCATGTGAAAGACCTCCGAGAACCCTCTTAACGATTTGAACAAGTGGTGGTGGAGAGGTAGTTTATGCCTCCATGAATGTGCAATGACTAGGTATTTAGCGAAGAAGATTTTTTTTCACGTTAAACGACGTCGTTTTGAGCTAAATAAGTTAAAAAATAAAATTAAAAAACTACTATTGCTAAAAAAAAAAAAACTACTATTGCATGACCGGCTACACATTCCACTTATACTTTGTTACTTATTTTTGGAACAGTGCATTCGGCACAAAAGCCGATCTACCCAAAAGAAAAATTGCAAACTACGGCTCCCAAATAAATAAAAAAATGTGAATGGTTTCGGATTCGATGCTCTGAGTCGGCTTGATTGTAGCGACGAATATGGTGAAATTCCCCATAACTCTCCGGGTCCAGAAATGCAACCGTAACTTGTTACTAGTTATCCCCCTTTTTTTAATAAAAAAAATATTTGCAGAAGA